GAGCTCCCGCCCCGGCCCCTGTTTGAGAAGGGATTTGCCCGCCAGGACTGCTGGCCCAGCGGTGGCTGGGTTCAAGGACCCACGACTTGCCGAGGGACCCCGGAAGGGCAAAGGGGGTGGGGCAGCCTCCACGTGTCGGCCGGGCTTGGGGAGTCCCCGGGAAAGGCGGAAAGTGACCTGGAGACGGGGACGAGGTTTGGGGGCTCGAGGGAAAGAAGAGCTGCTATGTGGGTGGGGAGGAAGCTGCTACCTGCGTCCTGGAGCCACCAGCGGGATCTGCGAGAGGGGAAGCCTCTGGCTCAGCCGGATTGAAGTTTGGCCCCAGGAGCGGAGCCGGTAGCTGGGGGGTGGGGTGTGCGCTCGGCCGCAGGATTGAATGAAGGCGCAGGAGGCAGAATCCGAGCGCTCGGAAGATCAGGGTTGGGAGGACCAGCCCAGGCGAGGAGCGGGGTGTGTGAACCGGCCCCTCCAAACTCACACTTCTCCTCCCCGCCCTTCCTCACACCAAGCCTGGCTCTCTTTCCTAGGATGTCCTGCCTCGCTGCTCCTGCTGTCCTTGCTGCTGCTTCCCCTGGGCCTCCCAGTCTTGGGCGCCCCCCCACGCCTCATCTGTGACAGCCGCGTCCTGGAGCGGTACATCCTGGAGGCCCGGGAGGCTGAGAATGTCACGGTGAGACCCCTTCCCCGGACAGGGCACAGAATTCACTGGAGGGGCTCAGGGGCCTCCTCCCAAATCCAGGAGACTGGACTCATTCCTGGCCCTGGGTTCAGGCTGGAGGTGAGAAGCCAGAACCTCAGTAAAATTGATAAAACCGGTAGCCCCTTATGCACATCTGGGAGCTAGGTAAGGGGCAAAGCCGAGGGGCTGTGGCCTGCGGGCTGGGCTGAGAGCCCTTGGGGCATTGACTCCCTGGGGTTGTGCTTCTAGATGGGCTGTGCTGAAGGCTGCAGCTTCAGTGAGAATATCACCGTCCCAGACACCAAGGTTAACTTCTATGCCTGGAAGAGGATGGAGGTGAGTTCATTTTCCCTTCCTCTTGGGGAGTCTCATTTTGGAAACCTGATAAGGCCAGGAGGGAGAAGGATAGAGACAGAGAAGAAATGGAGTAGCAAAGATGAGGACTGCATGGACTATGTTCATCTGTTCATTCATTCATTCCACAGACCCTTTCGCACGCCTTCCGTTTGTTTGCTCAGCTTTGTGCTGAGGGTGGCTGACAGGGAGGAATAAGGGGTGGCTTGGGCCCAGCTGACTCCAAGTCTCTGCTCCTTTTAGGTTGAGCAGCAGGCCTTGGAAGTCTGGCAGGGCCTGGCTCTGCTCTCAGAAGCCATCCTGCGAGGCCAGGCCCTGTTGGCCAACTCCTCCCAGACATCTGAGACCCTGCAGCTACATGTGGACAAAGCCATCAGCGGCCTGCGCAGCCTCACCTCCCTGCTTCGGGCACTGGGAAGCCAGGTGTGTAGGAATAGGCCCTCCCTCACACTCTGCCCTCTGTAAAATGGGAGAAGGGCCTGCCAAGGAACACGGAGACGTTCCTCATACCCCCTCCACTTCTGTCCTGGGTCCAATCGCCCTCCAGGGTCCCTGGCACTGCAGTGATCTTGTACTCTCTCCTTACAGAAGGAAGCCATCTCCCTTCCAGATGCAACGGCCTCTGCTATTCCACTCCGAACATTCACTGTTGATACTTTGTGCAAATTTTTCCGAATCTACTCCAATTTCCTGCGGGGAAAGCTGAAGCTGTACACAGGGGAGGCCTGCAGGAGAGGGGACAGGTGATCAGATGCTCCCACCCTGGGCACATCCACCACCTTGCTCACCACTACTGCCCATGCCACGTCTCCCACACCACCACTCCCGACCCCCATCGAGGGGCTGTCAGCTCAGCACCAGCCTGTCCCAAGGACACTCCAGGACCAGCGGTGACATCTTAGGGGCCAGAGGAACTGTCCAGAGTTCAACTCAGATCTAAGTATGTCACGGCGCCAGTCTGAGGCCCTGAAGCAGGAAAAATTCAGAGGAGATCAGCTTAAACTTGGGACGGTGCCCTGCTGGAGAGACACCAAACTCATCTCCATGCCCTGCAGAACTGTGATGCCAGGACCAGCTGGAGGGCACCTACCAAGCAGGGATAGGATGGACTGGAGAATTTAGGTGGCAAGTCATGAATTCTCTCGGTCTCCATGGGGGACTTCATGACAGCAAGATCCCCCTGGATAATGAAGGTGGTGGGAGCCATGAGGATGGGATGGGGGCTGGCCCCTGGCTTTGTATGTTTTTGTGTGTTTTGTGTATTTTTCAATTTCACTAGCAAGAAATGAAACCATAACATGGCTCTTGGCTTTTCTATTTTCCTGGGAGCCCACTACTTCCCTGGCTCTTGCCCCACTTTTTCTCCCACCCCACCCCCCCATCATGGCAGCAGGCAGCAGGCCTGGGAAATCAGAGGTGGAGGGAGTCGGGCCCTACGTGCTGCCTTGCATGGCCTATCTGACCTCTTGACCCACTGGGCGTAAGGCCACAAGCTCTGCCCACACTGGTCAATAAGGTGGTTCCATTCAAGGCTATTCCTCTGTAGGCAGCTACCAATGCTTATTCTTTCTGCCTCTTCTTCTCTGTGACCCCTTCAGCTAATGCCACATTCCCAGCATCAGTCTTTGCCACCTCAGTGCACCAACCCCCTTTATATCCAGCTGACCGCTCTCCTTGCCTAGGGATGGTCATCGTAAATATTCTGCCCCTGGACTTGCAGAAGGGGCAGTAGACCACAGTGCCGAAGCCGCTTTCCCAGACAGCCGGCTCACTGAGCACCCCTCCGTGCCTGTTGCTGCTCTAGGTAGCTCACTTCTGTGACCTCATTTATTCCTCACACAGCCCCCTGAGAAAGTTACTGCTGTCATTCCCATTGTACAGAAAAAGAAGTAACTTGCCCAAGACCAAGCAAAGGAATTCCCCCAGCACTCACCCTTCCCTCTTCTGCTTATTCCTTCCACGTAGTCCCTACCTGCTCTCGCTCCTCTGGGATTGGGGACACAGAACAAACTAATTCAACTTTCATTCCTGATTCCTACTTCTTACCTAACCCTTTACTCTGACAACCAATTTCAAATTCCTTCCCAGAAATAATGCTCCCAGGGGAAAAGCAGTGGCCAAGACAGACCTGTGCAGACAGCAAAAGATGTCACAAACTGTATCTGGACTCCAATCTTGGCCATTATAGTACATTAGAAGCCCGATGCATGAAATTGGTGCAAGAGTAGGCCTTCCTTCCCTCGGCTGCCAGCACTGGCTTCCCTCTGGCACCCAGGACCCGGGCTTCCCTCCGGCCACTGGCAGGCATTCAGGACCCGGGCCTCCCTCGCAGCCCCAGCTTCGGCTTCGTCTTCGTCTGGAAGGTCGACGTCCGGTCTAATTAGCATATTAAACTTTTATTATAGATATGGCAATGAGTCTTTCTGCTTTTATAGCAAAACTTAGAGAAATCAGCCTTTTCTCCTGAAAATATGCAAAAAGGAGAGGATGTTTGCAATTTTCAACAGGAAAAAATTATGGGCAGGTTGGGGGCGTTGTAGGGTATTTGCCAAAGATGTGTAGCGGGGAGGGAGAAGCTATGGTGGGAAGATGCAGCCAAGGGGTGGACTTCAGGCGAATTTTCAGCCTGGCTAACCCAGCTCCTGGCCTACAGTGCCCTCTTCAGGCCCTACTAGGAAATGCTAGAGAAATCTGCAAGCAATTAGCATCCTTACAGTTCTGACCTCACACATTTCAATAAAAATTTACATTGTGGATTCCACATGCGGCATCTGGTTCTTGACCCACTGCTGTGAATCAGGGAGGAATCTATCTTTCTTGATGAGGGAATTGAAGCTAAGAGATTTGTTCTGAAGCCCAAGAAATCTAGCTAATAAATGACAGGACTGAACTTAAGATTTAGGAATCATAATTCCAAAGCTTTGTCCACCTCTTTTCAGCCTGACTTACTGCCTATTCATACCCTGGCTCTTTTGTCCCAAGAATTCAGGGCCACTGACCCTCGACTTCTCTTCAGACTTCTTACTGCTTTCAATTAAACAAAAAAAGTAGTCAATGGTACCTGAACTATATGACCTGGGCCAAGTATAATGGGAAAGCAAGTATGTTAAGAACATTAAAACATAATTCATTTGCCCTGGCCAGTTTGGCTTAGAGCAAGCATGTCAAACTTGTGGCCGGCGGGCCACATGCCTAATGAGGCATGCACCTGCTGGCTGCGAGTTACACATGCTTGGTTAGAGGTGAGAGCGTCGGCCCACAGACCAAAGGGTCGTGGGTTCAATTCCCAGTCAAGATCATCAGTGTCAGGTTTGATCTCCCAATCCATGTGTCTCTCTCACGTGGATGTCTGTCTCTGCTCCCTCCCTCCCTCCCATCCTTCTGACCTCCCTCCCTTCTTCCTTTCCTTCCACTCTGTCAAAAATAAATAAATACATGGAGAAAAATATCATCTGGTGAGGATTTTAAAAGGACACAACAACCCCCTCCCCAATTCATTTATTCCGCACATATGGAGTGCCAGCTATGCGCTATCTTTTGCACTAAGTGCTAGTGAAATGACAGTCTGTGGTACTCACAGCCCAGTGTATTCCAAGAGCTGGCTGTTCCCAGGAGCAAAAAGACAGGAGCTCATTACTTTAGCCATCGTCAGCTCGGTATGTGACTTGAATGCTGAGATGTGGAGTACTCAGAGGCCCAGGATGTTAAGAACCCGGGGAGGGCCAGAGTTCCTGCCAGATGCACAGATATGCATAAAGGGCATTGTCAGATTGCTGAGGTGCTTCAAGTGCAGGCCAAGATGTGAACTTCCTTCTGTACTGTTATTATGATTATGATTAACAATATATTAAACTCTGGCGTTTACATGATCTGCTGTGATTTGCAGCACAACTTCATGATGTAGGAAGACAATAGGTACCACCCCCATTTGTCAGATGGGAAACGAAAACTAAGTTCTGCCAGGTAAGTGATGGAACCAGCTCTTCTGACTTCCTGGTGGGACAGGAGCCGGAGCAGCCCAGCTCTGAGTCAGCAGGTTACATAATTGTTCAGTGGAGATGCCTTCTGTTTGTACCGTGCGGTGTTCTCCTGGGCATCTCTCATTTGTTCTCCCAACTCCATGAGGAAGACAGAGACAGTAGAGGATCCCCACTTTGCAGAAGAGGAAACCAAGGTCCAGAGAGTGTATGATCCTGAGAGGAAGGGCCCAGATCATAGCCGGGCTCTCTGACGCTGGGTCCCTCTTATACAGGAAGCACACATCATGAGGCAGAGGAGAGAGCAGAGGGAGTGGATGGAAGGGAGGAAAGAGCATTAGGCACATCCATCTCTCACTACCAGCTCCTCCCCACTCCATTCCCTGCCTCGGGCTCCCACTTCCTCCCAAGATAGCCCAAAAATGCCTCCCAATCTCCCCAGGGCCCAGCCTCCCAGCACCAGGGGCCAACTCAGCTTCCTCCTGCAGCCCCAGCTCCCACCTTGACAGCAGCCTCTGGTCTTGGGTAAAACTGGCCTGAATCCTCTCCCTGGGCCTGAGCTTAACCTCAGGCTGCCAAATGCACCTGCCTGCCTCTGGCTCACGGCTGCCTAGGGTTTTTTTTTTTTAAACTACTCAGTGTGCAAGTCTCACCACAGCAGGTGTGACTATTGCTGGAGCTGAGTTAGCTAAGTGGGGCCTCTTCGACGACATTGGACTCTAAACTGAAAGGTAACTATATCGTTTCCAGTTGGTCAAGGCTAATTCAGGTAAAATGTCATCATAAAATTGACATCATGAATTATTGGCAACAGAAAAACAGACAGCAGTATGGTTTCCCAACTTAATGTGAGTCATGCCCAGATGTCTATAAAACCCCTTTTTTTACTTTAAAAAATTGATTATTTAAAAAAATTATGTGACACACACAATTTTTGATTTAAGAAAACTTTGGCCCAGTGTTGCTCAGTGATTGAGCGGTGAACCACGAACCAAGAGATCACTGGTTCGATTCCCAGTCAGGGTACGTGTCTGGGTTGTGGGCTCATTCCCCAGGGCGTGTGGGGGGCAGGAGGCAGCCAATCAATGTTTCTATTATCCTTCTCCCTTCCTGTCTTTCTAAAATCAACTTTAAAAAAAACATACTTAAAAAAATTCCCTAGCTGGTTTGGCTCAGTGGATAGAGCCTTGGCCCGCGGACTGAAAGGTCCCGAGGTCAATTCCAGTCAAGGGCACATACCTCGTTTGCAGGCTCAATCCCCTGCCTGGTGTGGTGCGTGTGGGAGGCAATCACTCAAGTCTCTCTCTCCCCTTCCCTTCCACTCTCTCTAAAAGTCAATGAAAAAATATCCTCGGGTGAGTATTAACAACAACAAAACAAAAAAAAAAAAAAAAAACAAAAAAAAGAAGAAGAAAGAAAGAAAGGAAAAGGTGATAGTCTCTCCTCTCAGTCTTGCAGATGAGGAAACTGAGGCCCAGAGAGGGTGATCAAAGGGCACACAGTGATGCCAGGACTGACTCTCCAGTTCTCTGAAGTAGTTTCCAGGGTTTTTCTACATCCCAGGGCCTCTCACATCTATTCCTGTAGCTGCCAGTCTTGTCAGGTGACAAACCCTCTGGGGTCTTGCCTGTTTCTGACTCCCCAAAATGCAGAGCCTGATGGTTCCCTCCCGTCACCACTATTCATCCTTTCTGTCCTGCCTTGAGCTCCCAACCCCCACCACCAGGCAGGTTGGAAGCTGTAACTGTCCAAAGGAAGCTGTGGCGCCAAAGGGAGGTCAGGAAAGGCAGCCCTCAGAGGCCTTATTGCCCAACCAGGAGGGGCTGTGGATCAATTGGCTTTTGCTGCTCTTCCCTGGGTTAACCATTTCCTCGCTTTGTCCCTCTGCTGATTGCTCTGCTAACTTGGCCTAGAGCAGTGGTTCTCAACCTTCCTAATGCCGCGACCCTTTAATACAGTTCCTCATGTTGTGGTGACCCCCCAACCATAAAATTATTTTTGTTGCTACTTCATAACTGTAATTTTGCTACTGTGATGAATCGTAATGTAAATATCTGATACGCAGGATGTATTTTCATTGTTACAAATTGAACATAATTAAAGCATAGTGATTCATCACAAAAACAATATGTAATTATATATGTGTTTTCCGATGGTCTTAGGCAACCCCTGTGAAAGGGTCGTTCGACCCCCAAAGGGGTCTCGACCCACAGGTTGAGAACCGCTGCCCTTTCAACTGCAATCTTATGTAGAATGGCTTAGAGGAAGGGTAGACCAAGGTTTGGGATGGGCATCCTTTCTATCCCCATCTTTGATGTGAAGGGG